CTCCTCGTTGCTTGTTCCTCGTTTGCAAGGACTGTCTAGTGCAGGGAAAAGTCTTGCCTAACTCTGCTCTCTCTGCTGCCAGCGGTTCTGCCCGGGCTGAGCCGGGATGTCACTGGCCGCGTACGGTTGCTGCAGAAGATTCAGCCCTAACCCTAACCCAAAACTGATAGCCAGGTTTGACCCACCATTCCCTAAACGTTTCATTTTCTTGCGTAAAATTCGCGCAATTTTTTTTCGTGAATGAGAGGAGCCAGAGGTGTGGTCTCCCAGAAACTGAAGAGAAAACTGGATTAAGGGCCAGGGATCTACAAAGCGACCAGGGAAATTACACTTGTTTGGGAGCAAAGCGTAAATATTAGAGCAACGATAATAACAATAACTGCCTGCCGAGAGCCAAAGAGCTTTAGGATGGAGGATTAAATGTCATGTGCGAATGTTGTGATCTGTGCTGGCAGAGCGACATCAGTGCGGGAAGCGCCAGAGGTGCCTTCTTGCCTAATTTTCTTGGGATCGGTCTTTCTCCCCTTTCCCCGCGGTGTTTCTGTAACCCTCCAAGCCAAACAACGCGAACCGAGTTCCGGGTCAGCATTGCTGCACACACACACTCCCTTCTCGCACTCAGCGCAAACACTGGTGAAAGAAGCGACAGTTTGATCACTTTTTGCATCCCCCATCCGGCCCTTCGGAGCTCAGGGAATCCCCCAGGCTCCCTCCGCGGCGGTTCAGTCGATGACAAAGCGCTGCAGCAGGACTGGGGAGAGCGCGGCTGCTCCTCGCTCCGCCGCGGGGTCGGCGGGCAGGTGGCGGAGAGCCCCGACGGACCCGGGAGCATCGAGAGGGGGCGAGCGGCCTCGACTCCGGCCCCGGCCCCGGTTCAGCCCGGTGAGAGATGCGGCGGCCGGCGGGGCCGTTCCGGAGCCGGGGAAGGGGCAGCCAGAGCGGGACCCCGCGGGGTGTCCTCGCCCGCTCCGCCCGGCCGGGGCCCCTCCAGACGCCGCTGCCCCCATCACCTGCGGAGTGAGGTTTGGGGGGTTTGAGGGGAGCACCCCGGGCCGCCCGCCGTGTCAGTGTTTAAAAGATCGCGGAGATATTTTCACACCTCAAACCGCCGCCGCCTTTCCCCCCCCCCCCCGCCCCCGCTCCGCCTTCAGCCCCCATCGCCTTGATTTAGCCCTTGGTAATTAATTTGGCATTTCAGAATAGCTACTGGGCTGGATAATGGCCTCATTCATCTCCCCAGCCTAATCTGAACAGAATCTGGAAGAAAAGCTTTCAGAAAGACAGAAACTGCCATTCGGCAACTGCTCAAAAGAACTGTCACTCCAGGGGAATAAATCGCTCCTGATTATTTCAACCCGGGTCTTCTCTGCTTTTCCAGCCGCTCCCGATCCCGCCGGGGAACGGCCCCCCGAGAGCCGAGGAGGGGAAGAGCCGCCCGGATTTTCCCCCTCCCTTCTCCAAACCCGGGCCGTGCAGGGGGAGGTGGGCGAGGAGCAGCGCATTGTTCCCGGCGAGGAGGACGAGCTCCGGCACCCGAAGCCATTTGACTTTTAAAATAGGCTCCGAGCGCCGGGGCGGCCTTTCCCGCTGGCCACGGTGGGGCTGAAATAAAGCCCTTCTCGGCTCTCCGTCACGGGGGCTTCTCCCGGGCCCAGCGCGGGGGAACGGGGAGGCTCCGCTCTGCCCTGGACCGGCCGTGCCCCGCCGCCGCTCAGCCCCTGGGCCCTCACGGGGATCGGCCGCGTTCCCGGGGCAGGTACCGGAGGTACTGGAGATGCTCAGGTCCCGGTGAAAGTACTGGAGATGCTCCGGTGCTGGTACCAGCCATGCTCCGTCCCTGGTGCGGGTACCGGAGATGCTCCGGTCCCGGTGCGGGTACAGGAGATACGCCGGGCCCGGAGAGAGAGCGAGAGTGCATCGGGGTCGCACCGGGGCTGGATTCGGCAAGGATCTGTCCCCTTCCGAGCCAGGAGAGGGCCGGGGTTAGCTGGTGCTTAATGACAGGAAAATCAAACCCCAAAGTAGGGGGGCGACCTGTGGCCTGGTACCCCGAGCACCCGCCCTGCTCCGTCCTCCCGGGACTGCCCCAGGCCCCTGCCCGGAGCGGGCGGACAGACTCGGGCCCGAGGCTCGGAGAGTTGCGCCTCGGTCCCCGCGGAACTGCTTACACGCATTTAATAGCTCGAGGGCGAGGTAATTAGAGGAGAAAGCCTCAGTAAATCACGTTAATGACCGCAAGAGCCATTACAAACCCCGGGGGTTGTGAAACACCGAATAAACTCAGTGAGAAGGGCAGGAGAGAAGCGAGAGCCGCAGCCCCGGGAACGCCGCCGGGCAGTGCGGGGCCCCGCGCTCGGCAGCGCCGGGTGGTTGTTAAATTAACACCCTGCTAATGGGATTAGGCAGCACCTCGGGTTTGCTGGGGAGTTTAGCGGGGGTCGGGATTGCTTAGATTCACCCCATTTTTTGCCGTGAGGCGTTAAAGAACAGTGCGGGCTTTGAGGGATTGGGAAGGTGGGGGGTAACCTTTAAAAACCTTCCCGGATTTTAAGGAAACGTTAAAATTTCAGCCCTATCCTGCGCCCGGTGCCCGGCAGCATTCCCGATGCCGCGGCCGGGCCGGAAAGAGGGTCGAGGAGCGTCGGGAAAAACCGGAGCCAAACCCGCATCCTTTCCTGGAGAAACGTGGGTCCTCGCAACGGCACCTGCTGCGCCCCCAGACAACCCCGAGTGTCCCCCCCCGGGCACAGGAGCCGGTGGCCCCGTGGCTTCATGTCCCCCCCGGGCACAGGAGCCGGTGGCCCCGTGGCTTCATGTCCCCCCCGGGCACAGGAGCCGGTGACCCCATCGCTTCCCCTCCCCGGCACGGCCCGGAACGGGCAAGGAAGGGCTGGTCCCGGAACGTGCGTGGCCGAAGGAAAAACGCCGGGCGGACAGAGCGGGGGCTCAGAAACGACGAGCGCGGATGCTCATGGCAGGCACGTGGAAGAGTCTGAGGGCCCGAATTTGGGGCTCCCGGCTGGAGATTTCCATCCCGAGTTGTCCGCACAGCCGCGGCCGAGCCCACCCGGCGCTGGGGAGAGCCCGCACCGGGAGGCGATGTCCCGGGGCCTCCCGCAGCTCTCTCTCGGCCTGGTCCCCACGGCCCGGGACAGTTTGGTCTAAATTGTCCCCTTTCCTCCTTGAGGTACCACCCTATCTCAATTACGCAAACAGGTCCTCAATTCAAGAGCGGGGGAAAATCTTTCTTCGGGGCTGGGGTATCTCAGGACTGTCCGTGTGTGTCCCGGGTGTGCCGGGCTGCGACTGAGTCCAAGGACAGCTCGGGTGAGACCAGCGGGACTGGGACACCCCCCCCCAGTCCTGGCCCGACGCATCCCCAATACACACAAACACCCCTCTTCCTCCGGCGAAGGAGCACCAAGAGCCCCGGGAGCGGGACGAAGGGGCTGTTTCCCGGGGAAGAGTTAACAAATCCCGGGAGTGGCGGGGCTGGGGGGCGGGTGGGGGAGATCCGGGGGGAGCAGTGGGGGCAGGGAGGCTGCGGAGCCCCGCTGCCCTGCAGGGAAGGCGGTTGCATTGCCAAAGACGCCCCGCTGGGCTAGCAGGCCCGGGAGCAGATTAATCAGGCACTAATTCAATTTACAACAACCACTTTTATTCAGCTCGGTGGCAAGGAATTCAAAGCGGGGAGAGGGGCGGGAGGAGGGGAGGGGGCGGAGGCCGGCCTGGGGCTCACGGCTGCCCGGGCAGCCCCCGTCCCCTCGGGCCGCCCCGCCGGGGCTCACCGGGGAGGGGACCGCGCCGCCGTGCCAGGGCCAGGCCGCTTGAGTGACACGGCGTGGGCAGCGCTCCGAGAGAGGGCACCTCCGTTGGAAAAATAAAAGTGCCCTTTTAATCAAAGAGAGAGGGAAGGGGGGCGAGCAGGGCGGCCGGGAGCCGCGGGAGGGAAACTCCGCTCCCTCGCGGGACCGTCTCTCCTAGATCTCGGTACTGTCCCCTGGGGCTCTGCCCCCGGCCGGGATCACCGGGGGGAAGCGCTGGGACAGAGCTGATCAGGACGGAGGCGGCCGCCGGGGGCAACCCCCCGGCACGGAGGGTCCGCAGGACGGGCGGGAAGGGGAGACCGGGGCTGGGCCACGGCCCAGTGAGGGACAAGTGCCGCCCTTTAACTCCTTCCTCGCTTTAACGGGAGCCCCGACAAGCTGGAAACCGAGGCGGGGGGCGGCCCCTGTGCCTGGATTGTCCCAGGGCTGTGCTAGGGAGACGAGATCGGCCCCCTAAAACAACCTGCCAAAGGTCGCCAGGCCCGTTAGTTCCCGTGTAGTGCCCAAAGACTCGAGATTTCTCCCTGTTCAACTTCCCTGGTATCGGAGTTTCTGTCCCAGGGGCGAAGGCTGCGGGCCGAGACCCTCTGGGAGCCCCCTCGGAGCGGGCCGGTGCTCTGCCCCGGCCCCCCCTCCCGGTCCAGCTGAGGGGACCAGTCCCTGTCTGGCCTGCTAGAGAGGGGAGGCCAGCAGCGACCAGCTGGGAGACGTCCCCATCCTGTCCCTCTCGGCGTCCCCACAGGTGGGCGGGGGGCTCCTCCCGGCCGCTCCCCCCCTCTCCCCGCTCCACGCCCACGGAGCATCCCCAGCTGCTGGGGCGCAGGCGGCCCTGGGCTCCCCCAGCCCCGTCGGGGGCACGGAGGGCCGGGGGGGAGCAGGATGGTCCTTCCGCGGTGCTCGGGGCGGCTCGGGAGCCCCGCGGCGGCGCTGGCGCCCATCGCCGCGGTGTCGAGGCGGGCTCCGTCCCACTCCCATCCCCCCCCCCGCCCTCCCCGAGGCCTGTGCGCGTCTCTGGCTGAGCCGCCAGTGGATGTCGTTGTTCTGTTCCTTGAGCGCGATGTCACTCCTTTAGCATGACCTCAAACGCGGCGGGGGCTGGGACCGCCAGTCATTCTCCGTGCGAGGGCCGGGGCGGGAGGCAGGCGGGACCCAGCCCCGCCGCCAGCCCCACTTTTGTGGTGCCGCCGCCGCCGCGGTCTCCCCTTTCTCCGCGGGGCTGGCCGCGGGGCGGGCGATGCTCCGCGCTCCCTGAGCCGCCGCACCGCGTCCCTCGGCCGAGGCGCCCCGCGGAGCTGCGCGCCCGAGCGGCGGCTCCCCCGTGTCCCCCGTGCCCCCTCCCCGCTGTCCCCACGCCGCGCGGAGGTCGCGCAGGATGCCGCGGAGGGGCGCGGAGGCGCCGCTGGCCCTGCTGCTGGCGGCGGCGTGGCTGGCGCAGCCCCTGCGCGGGGGCTACCACGGCGTGAGCATGTTCGCCGTGCAGACAGCCCAGCCCGACCCCTGCTACGACGAGCACGGGCTGCCCCGCCGCTGCATCCCCGACTTCGTCAACTCGGCCTTCGGGAAGGAGGTGAAGGTGTCCAGCACCTGCGGGAAGCCGCCGTCGCGGTACTGCGTGGTGACGGAGAAGGGCGAGGAGCAGGTCCGCACCTGCCACCTCTGCAACGCCTCCGACCCCAAGCGCGCCCACCCGCCCTCCTTCCTCACCGACCTCAACAACCCGCACAACCTGACCTGCTGGCAGTCCGACAGCTACGTCCAGTACCCCCACAACGTCACCCTCACCCTCTCCCTCGGCAAGAAATTCGAGGTGACCTACGTCAGCCTGCAGTTCTGCTCGCCGCGCCCCGAGTCCATGGCCATCCACAAGTCCATGGACTACGGCAAGACCTGGGTGCCCTTCCAGTTCTACTCCACGCAGTGCCGCAAGATGTACAACAAGCCGAACCGCGCCGCCATCACGAAGCAGAACGAGCAGGAGGCGGTGTGCACCGACTCGCACACCGACGTGCGGCCCCTCTCCGGCGGCCTCATCGCCTTCAGCACCCTGGACGGCCGCCCCACCGCCCACGACTTCGACAACTCGCCCGTGCTGCAGGACTGGGTGACGGCCACCGACATCAGGGTCACCTTCAGCCGCCTCCACACCTTCGGCGACGAGAGCGAGGATGACTCTGAGCTGGCCCGCGACTCCTACTTCTACGCCGTCTCCGACTTGCAGGTCGGCGGGCGATGCAAGTGCAACGGCCACGCGTCGCGCTGTGTCCGTGACCGCGACGACAGCTTGGTGTGCGACTGCAAGCACAACACGGCCGGCCCCGAGTGCGACCGCTGCAAGCCCTTCCACTACGACCGGCCCTGGCAGCGAGCGACGGCCCGGGAGGCCAACGAGTGTGTGGGTGAGTCCAGCGCCGCGGCAGAGGCGGGGAGAAGGACGGCGAGAGGGCGCGGAGGTCCTCGGAGGGGCAGGGAGAGGGAGGGCAGAGCGAAGGACCCGCGGGGTACGGGAGCGAAAGGCACGGGGACATCCAGGGACACGGCGAGCAGGACAGGAACACGCGGGGAGATGGAGAACAGGACAGGGTGAGGACACTGAGGTACCGGGGAGCGTAGGGCAAAGGACGGGACGCCGAGGGGCCCAGAAGCTCGGAACGGGGCTGCGAAGGCGCTCGGAAGCGCAGGGGATGGGACACCGAGGCGTCCGGCAGCTCCAGACAGGGAACACTGAGGCACCCGGGAGCGCGATGGTGACAACACCGAGGGATGTCCGGGTGCAAAGCAGGGGGCATGGGGAACCGGGGACCGCCCGGCAGGGCACGGCGAGGCACAGGAATTTGGGGGAGGGGATACCGAGAGCCCCGGAGGTGTGGGAGGGGGGAGACCCGAGGCAGCCGGGACAACAAGACGGGGGCACACCGAGGCACTTGGCGGCGCAGGACAGGGAGTACGGGGGGACTCCGGAGCACAGAGCAGGGAACAGTAGGAAACCTCGGAAACGCGAGGCAGGAGACACCAAGGAGCTCAGAAGGGGGGAGAAGAGACACTCAGGAATCCGACAAAAGGCCGTTCGTGTCCGGAGAAGCCCGGAGGGGCCCTGGCTGATTGAGGAGGGTCTCCCTTCACAGGCAGGTCCCTGCCGGGGGTCCCGCAGGGCACGGCCTGGGTTCGGTCCGGGGATCCCGGAGCTCGCCGGCAGCCCCGTTCTCTTCCCCGGGACACCGGCTCAGAGACCCGCCGCAGAGCCCGAGAGGCTCCGTGCCCGGACAGGACGAGGACGAGCTCCGGCCTCCGCGGAGGAGGAAAGTGGTTGGGAGCAGAGGAGGGAAACCCGGCAGTGCCTACGGCTCCAGCCGCTGCCTCCCCGAGGGGTGCGGGCGGCCCCGGGAGGCGGTGGCGGGGCGGCGGGGACTTGAATGAGCCCCGAGGCCAAATGAGAACCCGGCAGCAGCCGGATCGTTCCATCCCGGGCGAGAAACTCGCGCCGTTCCTGTCTGTCCCTGAGCGGAGACGGGATGTCCTTCGCTTCTGCCAGGGGGGAATAAGGGTGAAAGCTTTGGGTTGCTCTTCCCCGTGAGTCTTCACATATCCCGCTAACGATTCCCCGCGATTTTCCATTTCCCCGCTTCCCAGCGGGAACCCCGTGCGCTGCCGGTCCCCTCCTCGTCGCGGTTTGGGGGGCCGGTGCCAGCCCCTGGCTCAGCCGTGTGCCGGTGGGGACTCAGCCCCGGGGTCTGGGATGCCTCGGACCGGGCTCGACTCTCCGCGCCGGGACCCCCCGGCCCCGCGGAGTGCGGCTCCGGCCCCCGCCGCCGCCTTGTTTACACGGAAAACACGGCCCCGTCTTCCAAAATATTTGCAGCTCCGACGATAGGAAAAAACCCTCGCCGAGTGGCCGGGGTTGGGCGCCTTATTTTTTTGGTTTTGTTTTCTTTCCCTTCTTTTCTTTTTTTTTCCTTCCCCCCACCCCCCCGCCCCCCCCAAATCACAATCAGATGTGTCCCTCGCAGAGAGCGCAGTTTCTTCGCCGACGCCTTCAACACCGAGGCACGGCCGAGCCCGGGGTGTCCGGCGGGGAGGGGGTCCCGTTCCTGCGGCCCGGTGGCACCGGGGCACACGCGGGGGAAGCGCCGGGGGAGGCGCGGGGGTCCCGGCAGCGATGCTCGGCCCCGTTCCGAAGCCCCGGCTCTCCCGGGCTGCGGCTCCCGTCGAGAGGGGGGAAAGCGGCGGGGAGATGTCGCGTCCCGAGCGATGCCGGGGTTATCTCCGCGTTTGCTTTTCTCCCGTCCCGTGGATCCCTCTGCCCGGCAGCGCTCGGGGACGGGGATCCGCGTCTCGGTTATTTCTTATATTATTCTCTGGGCCGAGGACAGGAGGCGTCCAGCTCCCCCAGCCTCAACCCCCGCTCACGGGCTGGGACGAGTTCCCTGCCTGCAGTTACCGCAATCAGCGATACCATAAATTTTGGTGCGCTCTCGGGGTGCTATCGGACCCTCAGTCTACTCTACGGGGTCCTCAAATGCTCCTGAAAAATGCTTCAGTTATTGTGCTGGCCCCGTGCTCTTACCATCCTTCTCCCTTCCAATTTATTTCCAATAAAAGGGAAACAAGTTCCCAGTTTCCAGTAAAATGTGTCACTTTTATGCCAGGCTTTGCATTTCAGACCATGAGCAGTCCCAGCCGCGTCAGACTTCTGCAAACGAAAATCGCTCTGTTTTTTCCTTTTCCACCGACTTTGCTGGGAAGTGAATGTTTTGCAAGGATGAAGGTACCGTAAAATAATTTTCCACAGCCCGATCCCGGTGCGCCGTTCCCTGGGGCCGTACCTATCGCTCTGCAAAACCAGCCATGGCCAAACAACCGTGTTGCCCTGCCAAGCCCACACTGCCTGGAATAATCCCCCCAGATAAAGATCACAATAACCCTATTCAGCTCCCACCCACTTGTTCATGACCGTCAGCCCACCCTGGTTTCTCTCCTAAATCCCGAGAGAAAGTCAGGCCCTGCGGTCAGCGGGGGCTGTGGACCCGCCTGCACCGGGCAGGGGCAGGGGATGAGCGGGGAGTTGGTGGTGATGCTGCCGGTTGCACGCTGGAGGCATCTCCCATCGCTTGAGAGGGAAGGCAGAGGCGGCCAAACCCTGGTGAACAGCTGTGCTGAAGGGGTAGGTCAATTAGCCAAATTAGCTGATTTTGCCTCAGGTAGTGGTGTGAGAACTAGTTACAATTTTTTCATCAAATTTATTTTTTTCCTTTCTGGAAAATCGTTGGGGGTTTTATTTTTGTTTTTATTTTCATCCAGGGAGAAAAATTATAGAATGTGTCTGCTTTGCTTAAAAATTTGGGTGTTTTCTTTGGTAAGTCCATTCCCCCTGCCAAAACTGAATCTTTGTTCCTATTCATGCTTATTTGGTGCTGAAAAAGAAATGCACTGCAGTTTCTGACAGAAAGTCAAAATTTCCCACGGGAACGTTTTTTTGCCAGCCAGATCTAATTTTTCTTTATCGCTTCTTGCTGCCTGCGAGATCCCAGCACTGCCCATGGACAGGACAGGTCTTGTCCCAAGGAGATGTTCTCCAGGATCTGCTCCTGCAGAAGGAACCCGGCCAGCAGAGCTTTTCACAGATTCAGGTTCCCATCAACTTTACCTGGCAAATAATTCATCCACGTAGAGCTTGGCTTTACAGTCCAGCTTTGGCAGAGTGCCTGGGAGCGAGCGTGCTCCAGGGAGGACACAGCTTGGAGACAAGCTTGGAGGTCTGTTCTCCATCCTCCCCCTCTCCAGTGCCGTTGGGCTGGCTCTGTTTGCTCAGCGTTGGTCCAGCCCAAGCCTCATGTCTCCAACCCGGTTTGTCCTGATGAAGCTTCCAGCTCCCCTGGGAGACGAGATTGCAGCTGGAAAAGGCTTGAACTAAAAAGTTGTCGGAGCTCAACTGCTGGTGAGCTGGTGTGGACACATGAAAATGCAGGCAGGGGCTTGGACCAGATTTAATGACATCACTAAAATGACACCGTTCCACAATTTCTCAGGAACAGCGGTGTCATTCCGAGTGCTGGAAATGAACCAGGACAAGCACCTTCCCTTTAGTTACCATGAAATACCTTTGCATTTGGCCGTATAAAGCGCTGCTGGACAAACCCAGGGCTGCAGCCCGCTGACAGGCACTTGGAGAACGGCCTCCAGACTGTTCCCAGTGCTGGCTCTGGTTCTTCCCAGCCCATTCCCCCGTGGGGCCGGGAGATGCACCCGCCACCTGCACGTGTGCCTGACGTCAGCAGTGTCTGCCTCTCGGATTTTTGGCCCTCTGTGATGCCTAGAGAGTGTTTAACAAAACCAAGTGCGAGTGCAGTGAGAGAAGGGAAACATATTGTGTTTTCAGAGAGGGGATTTGGCACAGGCAGCGCAGGGAGCCTGGTGTTAGACAGGCTCTGCTCCGTGCTGTGCGCTGCCGTAGGGTTCCCAGGCCGGGATGTGTCTCATGTCAGAGCAATTTCCGAGCAAGTTTCTCATTCAGCTGAAAGGAAACTTTGTATCGGACAAGGAGTTGACCAGGAACTATGTGAGAACAGCCTGCCAAACACTCCCAGTGAAAAACTTCCTTCCAGACAAACCTGGGGCTTTATCACCTCCGTGGTGGTCCAGGGATGTATTTGCAGGGCAGTGTTTACTAAAACAGCTAACAGGCTCCCTCCACCCTCATCACAGCCAGGGAAATCACATCCTCCCACAGCATTGAGCTCCTCTCGCTCTGCTCCCACAGAAGGATGTGAGGACTGCAGGATTTCATTCCAGGGAGTTCCTGGTGTCCCTTATTATGTTTAGTTGATCCCTTTTCTTTCCCCTGCATTAATCACCTCTACCTGAAAAGTCTTCACGGTTCTCATCCTGTCTTTTAAACCGTTTTCCCCAAGGTTGGCAGAGTGGGTAATCCCATTGGATGATTCTTTCCCATTCCTTTGGCCTCCAAATGGGATGAGGAGTCAAGCTGGTGGTGATTGATGGCTGCAGGCACACCTGAGAGTGTCTGCAGGCATTGTTTGGGTGGGCAAGCAGCCCCAGTGCCTGTCTGCAGGGTCCAGGCACCCTGGGAGCACACGGCAGAGCGGGGAGTCAGGGCAAGTCCTGCACCTCCGATGGGTGACAACAGTTCACAGTGCACAAAACCCATCTGACCAGGAAGGACTGGGCTGGTGGGAGATGTCCTTTCAGTCTTCTCCTCTCCTGGGGTGATTCAGGGCTTTGGAAATGGTCTGTCCTGGAGGGGAACAGAGGGAAAGAGGCTCTGGCTGCAGCAGTGGGAAGTGTAGTGTGGGTAGGACTGGCAGAGCTGACAGGGACCTGGTCACACAGAGGCACTGCACCCGCTTCCCCTTCAGTTCTGGGCACCGTGGTGGGATGGGAG